CCGGGTCTCCTCTACTAGTCACAAATTCAAAAACATTATAAGAACACATGTTCACATATGCGTACACTCGTAACATGTGAACATACATGCACATATACGTCAATATACAATTGTGAACATGATCAAGCTACATAGGAAGAGAATATCATAGAAAATATATGAACACATAACCCCCATACTATGAACACCGAGTGCAATCACTTACACAATTTGACATATATAAATACCAGGTGCAAGCACTTACACAAATATAAAGATTTGGGATCAAGCTTCAAAAATGACACAACTGTTCATATGACACAAAATTTCGTTCATTAAGTGTTATATATACTAAAATGAGAGTAGTAATATGAACACAATGGTTCATGATTCATAAAAGTTGGTTATATGACCATATGAAAATGGGTCGTGCATGGAATTCCATTTAAACATGTGAATTATGTACGTATTAATAATTAAAGAAAAAACTACCAACACAATATGAACTACAAAAAACACAACGCATCATAATGAACATAATTTCGATTAAAACAAGTATAATAAAATATTAATCCATTACCAAGACATTTGTTTTGGTTATGTTCTTCACTTCTCGCACTCGAACTCCGATTGTCACTATAAACCATTTTAATCTTTTCAAAGTTGTCGAATTCTTTTCCAATGCGTTTATCCATAATAGCTTGAACGATACCGAAGATTTTACCACCGTGTTTCCTCCATGAATCACAAACTCATAAAACAATAAAAATGGAAGATCAATATTAGAAATGCAAATTTTTAGGAATTTTATGATTTTGTAACTCCCAATTAATGATATGAGAGTTATATAAAAAATGAAATTACTCAACTACCCTTGGCATTAAATTGTAAGCTAGATAAAAACATAATAGAAACATGGATTGTGATTGGTTCAAATGGTTTGTAAAGTTAACACAAAAACTTTGGTTAACATTTGATCTTACCCCCCCTCTCTATATATAATTTAAATTTGTCAAATATAAAAAGAATATATCTTCTTAAACAAAATTAAGCAACCTATTATATAAATGTTAAAATCGGGGTTCAAATCCCTACAATATTAGGGGCTGTTTGGCAGTTGTTGAACGGTTTAGTGCAGAATTATTAAGTGGTCAGAATGATTAAAACACTCTTATAATATAGTGCAAAATGAAATATAATTGTTTAGCAATTATTCAGAAATAAAATTAGGGTGTTGAATGGTTAAGGGAGGCCCAAGATACCAAATTATTCAGAGTGTTTTAGAACCATTAAGAACATTAAGAGACAAATTTTTTTTGCCAAACAAGATTCACCTCTTAACGATTCAGAGATCGTCTCTTAATGGAACTATTAAGTGATAAACAAACAACTCCTAAGATTTTTTACTCTTTAGAAACCTATTTTCAAAAATTAAAATTCCCTTTTTATAATCATGGTTTTTCCTTAATATATCTTATTTTTGCTATATTTAATTTAAAATATTATATTACATTTTTATAATTTAGATTTTTCTATTTTCTACCAGAATGTAAGCTAATGATGCTTTCGAATATTGGACAGACTTTCTAAGCCCTTTTAAATACTTTATCTCTCAATAATTCGAACTCAAAATCTTACACAAATAGTCATTCGAAAAAACATATAAATCATTCAACTTAAAAAGATTATTTAATTTAAGAGATTGTTGTTTTATGTTTATTACAATTTATGGAAGTGATGATATTCAAAATGGCTCAAAAAAAACTTTGAATACGTGATATCATTCATGAGTTTTAAAATATAAGGTTAGAGATTAGTATATTATAAATTTAATTTATTACCCTTATAATTTTACAAACATATGTGAACATAGTAGTCCAAGGATATTTACGTAAGAGATACTCGCCTTGATTATTTACTTCACTTTCCGGTCTCGAACTCTGATTATCACCATAAACAATTTTAACTTTCTCAATGTTGTCGTGTTGTTTTCTAATGTCTTTATCCATAATTACTTGAACGATAAAAAACTTTAATAGCGGATCTCCTCCACCAATCACAAATTTATAAATATTAAAAACGGAAGATCAATATTAAAAAATGAAAAAAATCACATGATCAATATTAAAAATGCAAAAATCATGGGATTTTATAGATCTTGTAACTCCAAATTAATGATATAAGAGTTAAAAAAGAAAATAAAATTACCCATATACCCTTAACATTAAATTCTTAGATAGAGTAGAACCTAATACTAAGATGGATTGTGATTGGTTGAATTTTTTTATAAAGTTGTTCGTTCCAACCGGATCTACAAGAGTTTAGAGGAACAGTTTGTAGAAGGGGGGATGAATACAAACACATAAAACTTTTATATTTATATATATATATATATATATATATTGATATAGAAGGATCAATACATATTTTTTGCAGATTGTTTGCTGAAATAGAAAAGGTAAAGATAACCTATCTAAAACAATCTAAGATTACACACAAATATACTTAGCAAATATAAGAAATTTGCCGAAAAGATAAAGACAGAAATATGTTCTTCTTGGGTAAGAACTTTAGAATTTTGAGAAAAATTCTAACTTGAAGATAAGCGTATGTGTTCTGTAGATAGATGTGTAGTGCATGAGGAGAGTACTCAGCTATTTATACCTATTACATTAAATGCAAATCAAAAGGGTTAGAACACACGTCAAGTGTTAAGAGGAAAGCTTGTCCTTTGCAACAGTGAATAGTACATTTGTCTATTCATGAGTAGACATCCTTTCGTGGAGTTGGTTGGCACCAAAGTCGACTAGTCGGCTCCATGCAGTACTATACTCTTGAAAGGGTATGGGTTTGTCCTTTGTGTGTGGAAGGACAAGACAAAAACAATCGTGCATGGCAAGCTTCATTTGATCGTTGAATGCTGGAATAACGCTGGAGGTCTCTTCAGCATTCACTAAGGCTTGTGCAGTCTTCACACATATGTTGACTAGGTTGTAATCACTGAATACCACTTCGAATCACGAACGCGCCAGTCACTAATCTTCAGTTTCAATCTTCGACATTCATTGAAGGTTCTTTGGTGTGAGTTTTGTCTTATTGAAGTATCGTTATCGTTGTAGGATTACAATGTGTGTTTCAGCGATCATTGAACAGACTCAGTGATGATCGCTGGAACTGAAAAGACATAAACAATAATACTTCGAAAGGTAAAAGAGATTATCATCAAATCAATGAGAGAGAGGATCAACAATCTCCTCCTATTTGATAATGACAAAGCAACATAAAGAAAATTTCCTTAAGGTTTAATAGTAAGGAAAGTTACATATAAAGTACATGTCCCTTTTAGCTATTTTGGGATCTTTTTCAGTGATGCAGTTTTTTACTTTATAAGTTTTCTTAAGTTACAAGTTTAAGAAAAAGTACAATAAGGGAAACTGAAACTGAAAGCATGTTCACTGACTGAAGATTGTCAGTGACTGTGAGAGCATACTGGAATTCATAGACACGTGTCCCTATTACTCTTTTCAGGGATCTTTTCCAGTGAGGCTGATGAAATACTTATATTAATTAAAGGAGAATTACAACTGTTTCAGTCAGTATATTCTAGACTTATTACATATAAGTTGTACACTGAAAGAACAGACATAGAAAAATAAGGCTTGTAATGAAAGATAAATTTACAAGACTAAAATTTTATAACTAATCTAAGTCGTTGAAGTCGATGTAACCAGGTACTTCTTCTCCAAGCATCTTTCGACGTAGAAATTCTCTTCTGATCTTGCAGTCTATCATTTCACCATAAAGGTCATTGTCCAACCAATATCTTAGATAAGAAAGATATTCCATAGGACAAAGATTAAACTCAGACACTCTCTGGAAGCTGTGTTCGCCTTCATAGTCAAGGAATATAAATCCAAACACAGGCTTTAGATGCACAGTGTTGGGTATGTAAGGACCCTTCGCTGGCAAAGAGAGGTTCAACATGGAGATATCTGGCTTCTTCGAATCCTTCAGGATTTCGTCCAAGGAGAATTTTGTTTCATGTTCATTCCTCAGAGTTGGTTCATCGTTAGGATCTGAAGGTTTTCTTCTTCCACCTTTATTCAATGACGGCTTTGTACGTACATCAATGAATTTGGACATCTTCTTGATCAGCTCACTGAGGATGTCTTAAATGATTGGCTTGTGCCTTGACTGTGAGCGTTGAATGGGTTGGCGGATTTCCATCCATTCACTGTAGCCGTATTGTCCAAGGTAGGGGATACTCTGTGACAACTTCAAGGTTGTCTCTGATGATGAGCATGGAGATGAGAAGTCCACCATCTTTCATCCGTCCATTGATTGTGATGTTTGAGATGCGGTGAGGACGTATTCTCTTATTCAGATGATCTTCGCTCCATTTTTTGTCTCGGTCGTTCAATTTCATTGCCTTTTCACGTTCAGTTTATGCAATGGAAAACAACTTAGCTTGTGCCTTGACAACGTTCACCATCTTTTTAGACAATTTCTTTGGAAGAACTTGAGCAGCAAGAGACTTGGCCAGCTTTAGGCCGTCCTCAGTCTGTTGTCGTTGAAGATTGAGTTCTTCCTCAGCCTTGAGTGCCTTGAGTCTTTCAGCTTCAGATAGGAAGTCAAATTCACCACGACTAGAGGTACGAAGAGGAATTTTTACTCTAGTTTGGTCGAGTGACTCCTTAAGCTGAATCATCTGTTGGTCACTAGGAACATTCGAAGTTGGGTTTTCAGGTACCCATTCTTCTAGCCGACTGCAGGTAGTAGAAGGAATAGTAGAGAGTTGACAAAAGGAAGTGACTGTTGCAAACCTGAAGAATTCGGTATCATGAGGCACGACAGGTTTGGAGAGAACTTTGAGATTTCTTTCTTCAGCAACACCTTTGTCTTTTAAGGCGGTGTTCTGGTTCTTTGTTGAAGTCTCCTTCTCTTTTTCTTTCTCTTTCTTCCCCTGGGATGAAGAATCCCTGAGAAAGACTTCTTTCAGAGCGCTGGCAGGTTTGGGGTACTGAATCGTGAAGTCGTTGTCATTGTCGTCTTCATCATCATCACCATCGAGATCCTTTCTAGCGTCAGGACGGGATGGAGAGTCATCATCATCTTCATTGTCATCGTCTTCATTATCATTGTTTTCATCACCAGCATCAGCTGTAAGGTTGATAGGAACATCTTCGTCATGAGCTTCAGCATCAGCTCTGACGGAATCATCAATAACCTCAGCTTTATTAGCTTCATGAGAAGTGATGGTATCATCAACAACCTCAGCTTCATTAGCTTCAGCTCTAGGAGCATCAGCTTCAGCTTCAGCTTCAGTTGTAGGGACAGCAGCAGCAACAACATCCAATTCTTTCTCCCCTGCTTTGTCATCAGCATGACGAGAGAAGAGGTTATCAAGACTTAAGGCTATGATGTCCATTCACTATTCAAGCATGGTCAACAATCTAGCTTGAAGAAGACCAAATTCAAGAGCTTGATCCAGCGAGAGGCGATCCATCGCTGTGAAGGAGGGCATAGGAACTGGTACTGGACGTTGAAGAAGCTCCAGTATCTGCCACAACAACTCACCATGCCTGGAAAGTTGAGCATTCGCTTCATCGGTTTTGCTGTTTAGAGCAGTGATAACCTTAGCGTTGGTGCGTACAACGACTTCCACCGTAGAAAGTTGTTCCTTGACATCATTGACATTAGCTTTGACATGTGAGAGGTAAGAGAAAACTTCATCCCTGAGAGGAATGCCTTTATGGACTTCATATTCATTTTTATGAAGACAGTCTCTACGGCCGGAAGTAGCAGCTTCACGTCATCAGCCATGTTATATTCTTCTTCCATGGCTGGCGTTCCTTCATCGCAAGGACCTAAAAAAGAAGATGGGTGAGCAAAAGATAGCTCGGGGTTAGAAGAAATGAAATGGTAGGTTGGAAGATTACCTGAGGGTTCATCAGCACCATCTGAAGGATTGATGCTGGTTCTCTCTAGGTTGCCTTCGAGAGGATAGGCTTCCATTGACTGAGGTGTTTCGAGAGGAGAAACTTAGGTCCTGTGGTGGGTGCTTCATCATCAACGAGGACAATCGATAATGAGTCATGAGCACGTGTGGAAACCAAAGAAGGAAGAGAGTAGAAGATGGTTGAGAATGGTGGAAGTGGGTGTTTAGCAGTGGCTATGCTGATATTCACACCTTCAGTAATTTGGGTCACTGAGGCGGTTGGGATAGGAGCCACAAGTACGCAGTGACTGCAGAAATCACTGAAGAGATTGGAGGAGATAAAGCTAAAGGTGCCTCGGGGTTAAGGCTAGTTTCAATAGCTGGAACCTTTTGAGAGGTAACAGTCAGAGATGTGGTTATCCCCTTTTTGGCTTTCTTGGCCCTCGATGGAGAACCAAGAGTGGTGTGTGAGGAGGTTCTTTTAGAAGAAAGGGAGGTGGTGTTTGGGATAGACTTTGGGGGGTTTTCCTTAGTCTTGACCACATGAGCAAGGGAAGAAGGACATACTGGCACAGTTGGAGAAGTTGAAGAAGGATATGCAGGCACAATTGAGTAGAGTGCAACGTCTTCAGTTCTCAACTTATGATCCAAGATTATGGATCCAAGCTTGTAGATGGGCAGGTTGCCTTTTGTTGAGCACTTGTTGCTAAATATCTTAGCAAACACCATGGATAAGAACCTGGTGTAAGGTACTACTGATAATCCCAAAATCATATACAATCAGATTAATCCTTCAAGAACAGATTTAAGATGAGTAGAGAGATTTTCACCATTGTTGAAAGTAATATTTCTTGAGAGAGTTTTTACAAAATGATTAACAACAACTAATCTGAACTAATTACAATTAACAAGCTAAAGACTATCTATACTAGGAAATTAACAAAGACTAACTATTACAAAGCAAATACAATGGGAGAACTTGAATACAAAAATTAAGCACATTCTTGAACCCAACAACTACCTTCTCTCTCTGGCGCTTGTTCAGCTTCAGCACCAGATCTTCAAAGATCACGCCGGCAAAGTTGATTTCTTTGACGAATGACAGAGACGCCAATGTTCAAAGCAACTCTGGACGCTTGATCCTGTCCACTAGTTTTGCCTCCCATACATTGGATGAAATGGAAAAACAAGAATTGCTATACCGTAGACATGCAGTTCTTCTCAATTTTTGAAAGCGATTTGAGGAGATCGCTGGAATCCTTCAATGTTGGTCAGGCGTAGCCAATATCATCCAAGCAGGAGATGATATCTTCAGTGGAAGGTTCAGATGCATAATGACCCTTTGGTAGACAGAGAGCGGTCCTTAGTGTGGCAACGCCGAAACTGACAGTCATCCTGTTGAAGGTGGAGAAGATTTTCTCCACCTGTTGTCCAGTCTTGTCAGTATCCTTAACTACTTTAGCAGTAAGCCAGAACTGCTGAAGAACTTCCTTCACCATGATGGGTTCATGGGAGATAGCGAAGGAGATAGGGGAGTTCTTGAGGAATGTAGCAGCTTCCTCTGTGAATCCCAAATATCAATCACAATCAGATAAATTCTTCAAGAACACAATTGAGAGTAAAGAGAGATTTTCACCAAGTTTGTATATGTACTTCTTGAGAGAGAATTACAAAATGATTAGCATGAACTAATTACAATTAACCTACTAAAAACTATTTATACAAGGAAAGTAGTAAAGCTAACTATAACAAAACTATTACAAAATGAGTGAACTTGAATACAATCATTTTAAGCATAATCTTGAACCCAACAATCTCCTCCTTTGGATTCAAGTTCGAGACATTGTGAATCTTGACTTTCTTAGCCCAAGAAGTGTCTCAAGCCTCCATAAAGCACTCCGGTATTGCAACTTGTCATCTAGCAGGTTCAGAGCATTAATTAGAAGATACCTCTCCTTCGGACTCATTCTCTCTGATTCCACGACTTTATCATTGTCATCTTTGATCTTCTATAGCGCCCGATGCACCATCCTTATAGTACCATCATTGTACTTGTTCAGCTCACTGAATCTCATAAACTTCTTTATCCGATCTTCAGCATCGTAGATCACACCAAACTTCGGATCTTCAAGTATAATGTAAAGAGGATAGCCTTCAATATCATCAAGTTCTTGATCTGGTCTTTTCAAATTAATGATCTTCTGATTGTCTTCAAGACCCATTTGTATGTCTAGAACCACCGATACTTTGACATGACTCCTCATATATCTCTTGATCGCCTCTAGAGCAATAACTGCTCCTTCTCTTCTTACTGTCAGATTTTGTAGTTCATGATACATGTGCTCCAGATCCTCTAAATAGAGATTAGAGAAATCAGCTTCATTGAACATCCAGACCCATCCATCCTGTGATTCCTGTCTTGTAACTGTAAACACTGGATACCAAACTCTAAGGAGTCTATTGGCATCAATTTGTTTGATGAAGACAATGCGATTTCTGGTCCGTACTTGGCTAATCGGAAGGCGCCTCGCTTTGAGAAAATGCTTATACTCTAAACGATAATCTCGGGTTTCTTTGTGAATCCCAATAATTTTATGTGTTAAGAGCTTTACGGTGCCAAAGAAAGATACCAAAGTAGATGTCTTCCAGGTAAGGCTCTCTAATTCGTGCTCTGTCGTAACCTGGAACATTAGCTCGTATTGCAAACGGCACGTAATTCTTAGTAAAAATCTCTGTAGGATAATACGCCATTTTCAGAGTTTCTGAAGCATCGTGATCAACTGCGGTGGAAGGTTCAGAAGAAATCTGATGATCACCCTGGAATGGAAAGATTGGATCATCTTCATTAATGTCAGCTTCAAAGTCAAAGTACATTCCAGATGATCCATCAATATTATTAATATCTTCACCAAAGTCTTGAACTCCACCCAGTTCTTTAGAAAAAGCTTCATTAAAGCCACATTGGCAAACAAATCCAAAATCATCCTTGTCTCTACTGTGGAGTCCACCGGCTTTTCAACCATTGGCTCGATCATAGGATTTGTCTCCTTGGCAATCTCCTCTTCAACTATTATTGGGCCTGTAGTCCTTTCCCTTGTTCTTTCTGGAACAACCCTTTCAACATTAACCGCTTCAGAATCTGGCTCCCTTTCAACACCTTGAACATGAACAGACGACTCAACCAGCCTCTGTCTTTTTCTCTCCCCCTAATGATGATTAGGATCATCGAGATCATCATGCCTTCTTTTCAAGGAGGTGGCTTGAGTACGACACATGTCTTCAAAGATCGATACCCTTTTGGATAGGGCATCAATGGAATTCTTTAAAGCTTGAGTGTTGGATGTAATTAACTTGCTAACTTTTGAGAAATTAGAAGCAACTACATCTTGAAAGGCCAAAAACTCTGAGGCTCGAACAGTTGGGTTTTCATCTACAAGTTGTCGAAGGAGCCCAACCAAGTTTGCATCAGCCGTATCTGGATTTTGAGTAGACATAAGCTTTGCATACAACAACGATTTAAGCTCATCCACCGATTGTTCTTGTACCCTCGGTGGCTCAGGCACAGGTGGTGGTGGTGGTGGTGGTGATGGCACAGACGGTTGTTCATCAATTACCGACTTCTTTCCCTTCATCATTCTCTTCAGACTAAGAATTTGAGCTTCCATGTGATCCTGAACAGCTTTTAGGGCGCTGTCCAAATACTTCCTTGATACAAAGTCGGGTAGACTCACACTTGGATCACTTAGATTACCAGTTGAAAAACTGTTGTCCCTACGTTCAGTGTTGGCGTGATATTAGCATTGGTAGGACTTTCGACCTGTCCTAGTGGTAAGTCAATAGACTCCACTCTGGTCGTTCTGGAAAGTTCACTAAGAACTGCAGGTTGAGCAACAGATGCTCTTGACTCATGTGTACCTAAGTGTATCGGCTCTAGACTCGATGTGCACAGAATCGATGTCGTAGGCTGGGGCATAGGCCTACTATCTTCAATATCTATATTCTCTGAATGAGAAGCAGATAGATTATATGCTAAGTCCCCGTGAAAAGATGAAACAACTGTTTGGTGAGAAGCAGTTGAGTGGCGGGGAGGGGTGTGCAAATGCATAGCTGGGCTAGCTATGTCTGTTTCAATACTAACATTCAACGAATGAATGTCGATAGCAGATGTGGGTACCCGGCTAACTGTATCCACTGGGATAGGATGTAACAACCCACATATTCTATGTACTGATAATCCACATCATCATACTCATAACACAAAATATAACATCGTTTACAAAATACAGATTAACAAAATACTTTCTTCATATACATTTTGAATAACTAAACGTCATTCATTCTAAACTTTTCCCTTGCCTTTATCTTGCGAGGTATGAAGACCTGCAAAACAGGTTAGTCC